TTTATGCTACTATGTTCGTTTATCTTTTTATGCAAAATCTGGGTCATTTGCAAAACCATTTAAGAACCACTGTTTTAGAAAATAAAGCAGTAAAGCACATTTAAACTTGGAAAAAAAGTGGAATAGAGTCTTAAATCAAGTGCATTTATTCAAGAAATCTCTCTGGGTCTATGAAACACATTCCTGCATGTTCTGTATTTGCCATTCAAAACATGCTGGCTTAACAGTGAAGAGCAATTATAACCTTTTTCAAGGTTAACTAAGCCAGCTAATTTAATACACTTCGGTTGGAGAAGAAGAGTAGATTCTGCTTTCTCCACCACCCCCCATTTATTTTTTTTTCTCTTTTTTTCAATAGTTGTGCTTTGAAGCCGCCCATTCACCTGAACACCTCCTCACTGATGTCTGGAGGTTTTTGCTGGTAATATTTGTGGTCCACTGGGTTTCACACTTCAAAGTGTGTGGGGAGAGTCTGGTAAATGCATTACTTTATCCTGAAGTGAGCAAGAATTGTGTTATTATTCACTTTCCTCCTGCCTATCACTGGGCGAGATCTCTGTAGTTCTTGTCAAATGCTTTTTCCATTCCTGAAGCTATTTTTTTTCTTGGTAGTAGTAATAATAAGAATTAATTAAAATTTTTTATTTTTATTTAATTATGTGGGGAGAGTCTGGTAAATGCATTACTTTATCCTGAAGTGAGCAAGAATTGTGTTATTATTCACTTTCCTCCTGCCTATCACTAGGGAATGAATAATTACCATTGATGGTTAATGAGCAAATAAAAGGCGCATTAGAATGAGTTTATTTAAACACACTCACACTTGTTTCATGATGTAGTAGGGACCTCCTATGACTTCTGTTGTTATTAAATGAATGGTGAAGTGTGTCATTTCTGTACCACTAGCATCACTGGTAGTAGGGTAAGTTTTAACAACAGCACTCTTTGTACTTGACAGTAATTTTCACAATTTAGCAGTAAGTGGTAGATTTCCTATGAAGGTAAAATAATACCAGAGATCTGTGAAAGTGTGAATTATTACCAGAAAATTGTGATAGCTATTTCTCAGACTTCCTTTTTTCACGCTTACACTTGACACCTTTTTCCTCTTAAATATGGCCAAAAATATTGCAAACTTGCAAAGAAAGGGTGTCAAGAACTTATATGACTAAACACTAAAATACTACCTCTTTTTTTCTTATGCACACAGCTTGATTTACACTTTTACAAAACGTTCTCTGTTCATGCAGATCTTTTTAGGATTATTTTACCTTAATACATTTTAAACATATTATTTTTTTTTTAATCTGTTGATATTGTGTGTGTGTATATATACAAATTTCTTATTCATAGTTACAAATTTCATTTTCCATCCAGTGGTCCATCTTGTCCTCATCTCTATAGTTCAGCTGTGACATTATCATAGTGACACCAAAGTAGGAATTGAACTGACATCAGAAATGTCTTTGTGTGACAAACTGCAAGACAAGTGAATCATCTCAATATCATTTTTAGTAGATTGTCAGATAAGACAGATCTTCTAAATAGGACATGTGCTTTCCTGGCTTGGGCTAAAATGGAGCTGGATCCTGATCAGATGATATGGGCTTTGGGAAATGTTCAGTGATAAATCACTATAAAGTGTCCTGTTGTACATGATATATCAAAAACATCTGTTCTGTATTGACTAGGAAGCCATTTTTCATTAAGAGTCAGAAAATTCTCACAATACACTAGCTATGTTTCCATCCAAAGTTACATATTAAACTTGGAATATCGCATAAAACATTTGCGAATAAAGCACTGTTTCCATCCAGTGGGCTGAAGAGAACAAAATCGTCACTTCCTGATTAACTTGCGCTAAATATCATGAAGCAAAATTAAATTTGTTGCAGTATAGGATAAGGCACTGTATATAATATTCTTTGTATACAATAAATTACGAGCTTCAGAGCACACAGACGAAACGCGGTCATGTTATCTTATTTTCGGAGCCTGCTGTTTAGGAACACCGTTCTGGGAGTTAATTATAATGAAGCACTTTGACGAGACTTTGCTCAAGCATTTTAGAATGACAAACTAACTAGCATTTTGAGATGCTGTGAAATGAGATTGGTCTGTTGGTTGGCCCAGTTTTATGCTGTCCCATTGCAAAGTCACGTCATTTTTAATGCGTATTAAGGAATTTATTTGGTAAAAGTGTTACTATTGCAGTTTATGCGCATGTTTTTTTACCGAATAAGAAATTTATCCTACTCAGTTGAGCGCATACGTTTTTTATGAGCATTTTTAGAATTTATGCACATCTTGGCATTTCCAAATCCAGCGTTTTTTTTTTTTTTTTTGCGATATCCCAAAATGCGCATAAAAATAGGTGGATGGAAACATAGCTACTGTTTCAGTTTGGGATGCATCAATATTAGAATTTTGGCCGATGCTGATAAGCCAATTATTTTTTGTTATGGGTGATATAACCAGTTAATGGCTGATAAAATTATGTACTGTTTTGATTAAATAAATTGCAAACATTTTAAATAAATCTAAAATTGTCCATTTAAAAAAAATCATTCATGGTACATGTGAATTTATTCATCACAACATTATAATGTACTGTATGAGAAACAGATATTCATTTTGAGATCTGCTAAAGCTTACATTTAACAGTGTTAATTATTAGTGCATAAAAGATTAACTTTACGTGAGCGTTAAATGATGGCAAAAATAATCTAAATGTAAATGAGCATGAGCGATAATATGCAATCCAATGTTATGTGATACAGATAAATTAAAAAGATACTAATAAATATTGTGCATACCTAGTCCTGATTCATCTCAAATGTGTTCAGTGGGGTTCAGGTCTTTGTGCAGACCAGTCAAGTTCCTCCACATCAGACACAGTAGATTGTTTCTTTGGGGAAACTAATAAATCAAGGCAACAACAAAGCCCAACGTCATTAATGCATAAAAATCGAGCTAAACTGGGCATTTATGTTAGAAACACAGAGCTGATGGTGGTTACTAAAGCTTTGAAGAACATAAAGGGTTTACACAAGCTGTTTACACACGTTCAGCATCAGCGGTCCTGTGAAGATTTCTCATTAGGCGATAAGAAGCGGTTTTCTTGTTCTTCAGAAAATTTGGAAAATTCTTGGTTGTAATGATTTTCTGTTCTCTTTCCTCCTACACTGTCAAATCTTTTTGATGTGGGCTGTGCTTGGTGACCTTGAGCCTTGTGCATGAAATTGTGTTGTTTTTATGTAAAGTGTAACATTCAGTATTCAACTCCTCTTTTTTTCCCCCTCTCTCTCTTTCTTTAGCATGTAGAGTCTCGATTGGAGTCTTTGGGCCGTTCATTCACACGTGTGCTCCTGTCTGAGATTTTCCCCGGCAAGCTGGAGCTCCTGGCAGACGTGGACGCGTGAGTCTCTCCTCCATCTACATGCACAGTCACGCTCTCCATTTCACAAAATTAAACATCAACTCCTGTGCATCATATGAAGATGCTCCACCATAAGGTGCACATTAATCGGAGTCTCAGCACACCCTTAGGACAAGGCGAGGATCGACAGAAATATCACTGACGGTGGCAAATATGTCAGATGGGGTCACAGGTTTTGTTAGTGAGCAGCTCCTCTGTGGTATGTGTCTTATTGCTGTGGTGGGCTTTGAGATTATTGAAGTTCAGTGGAACAAAGGAATTTTCTATGGGCTTTTTTTCCCGTGTATGTTAGTAATTGTTGTTGTTTCAACAACAGTTGCGATTGAGGTTTCCCCTGGTCATGGAAAACCTACAAACATCAGGGAATTTTAAAATGGTCATTTCGAGGCTTGGAAAAGTAATGGAAATAATAAAATTTTTATTAAATATAAATATATATTTATATTTATTATCAGTTTATTATATAAAATAAATATATTGTGTAACACAAAAGTAGATATTCTGAAAAAATGTTTCTGTTCAAAAATGTTTTTGTTTTAACAGCATTAGACCCGACTTGACATTCATTGTAATACAAAAAAGAAATTTTTTAGAATATCTTCTTTTGTGCTACTCAGAATAAAGCAAGAAATATTGAATTCAACTAACTGAATAATTTAAAATATTAATTATAAAACTTAAATTGTATACAAAAAAAATGTATTATTATTTTTTTTTATAAAAAGGAGCTGGGGCCGGTTGCACCAGCTGTACGTAAGTTACAACTTATAGACTAATGTTATTAATGTATCGTTTTTAATAGAAACTTGTTTATATTTTTACTGTTAGTATATGTGAGGCAAAAGAAGTGAGAATGAAGGATAAATTAAAATTCATAGCATTTAAACAAGTTCTGCTCGTTTAGGTTTCTATTGGATGATTTAGGGTAAACGTCATATTATGTGACTACGCATTACATTACGGAGAGTTTACGAACGACTTGCTACGTCCTGCCTTACGAACAACTCGTGCAACCAAATAATGTATAGATTTATTTACAATCTAACTAGTAGTTACTAACCCTCTAGTGTGGACTTAACGTTCTAATTTAAGTAAGAACTTACGAATAGCTGGTGCAACCCTACCCTGGAAAATAGTAGGCTTGATACTATAAAGACTCCATAAATGTTTCCAAAACTGAATTATTAGGTGTTTTTTTGTTGTTGTTGTTGGTTTGTTTTGCCTTTTTTTTTTTTTTGGTTGCTGTGCTGATGCTGAATAGGCTGGTGCACTAAAAAACTAAAGTTTTTGCAAAATTGCTAGTAAATTTCAGAAGTTGACAAGTAACATGAAATTTTGCTAAATACTAAAAGTGTATTTTCTTGTAAAACGTACAGCACTTCAGTAATCTTTGTTTTATTTACATCTTCGTAAAATCAGTTTTTACAGTTGCTAGGAATCAGACCACTGATATGACATTTTTCTTTTTCTAAGTGTTGTGAACTTTTAACTGTCCAGTTTTCTATTTGAGCTATATTTAACTGGGAACATGCCTGTACTGACTCCTATTTTGTGGGAGCCCTGTATTGTGCACACTCCCCCACTGCCTGCCCTCTGCATCTGGGGACGGGAGACGGACACGACGGCCCCCTAAAATGAATGAGTGGGTGAACGAGAGACAGAAAGGTCTGAGAGAAAATGAGGAGGAGGTGGAGGAAGGCGAGGAGGCTGTTAAAAACGGGAACGAGAGTGAAACAACTCAAAGAGAGCACGAGAGAGAAGATCAACCGCCCCCATCAGTCGTGCCGCTCTCCTGCCACGTGAATGACACCGCATATGTAATCGAACCATAACCATGACCAGAGGAAAGTTACACCTCTGTCTCTCCTCCTCTCATTTCCTCCATTAATGTCAGTCGCTTGTACTGTGACTGCTGAGGATTGGTGTCATCTTGGCAGAAACATGAGGATCCGAGCAGAGGAAGACATTTCAGAGCGTAACGTGAGCGTTGATTAATGCTGCACTGATGATGTATATGACGTCCCGGAGAAGATAAGATAAGGAACGGAGCTGCGGTCTGCCAGCAGTTGTCACCATAATGAGAAGGTTAATCGAAATGTCCAGTGTTGAATTACCAGACCAGACAGAAGTGGACCTGAGTATGATTCCTGGTAGGGCTGCACAACTAATTGACAAATTAATTAATCACACACATGTACGTTGTGCGCAATGGAAAAACTTAAAAATCTATAGTAATGACAGTCGGTCCTAATGAGCGAGGTCTTCGCTTCTTTGAAAATGAGAGCTATAGACATTCAGAAATGAGGCGATAATCATCGTCAATAATTTGTAATTGTTTCAGATTCACTTTATTCAGTCTGCTTTGCTCCCATTATTATCAACAAAGCACTGAATAGACAGCATTGTTGATTATAATGAGACGGGAGCATCAAAACAGCACATAAAATAAGCATTTTAATGTAAATTCTGTTCATTGGAATTAATAATTATAGATACAATATCAAGGGAAATAATTGTCGGTTATGATTGTTGTCAGATTGTGCAGCCGTAATACTTCAGTTGGATGTTTTGTAGCATGGAGGAGGCCTTTTGCACTGGTGTCAGGCCTGGAAATGTGGAGGGTAAACCGGCAGCACTTGAAAATACAATTCAGCTTTAATACTGTAAGGTGTTTGTGGATCCTCTGGCTGGTGTGAAGTGTTTGATGTCTGCTAGGAGGGTCATTCCTGTTGTGCAGTGCCTTTTGAACTATGTAACTTTTGAAAAATGAATATGCCTGTGTTGTAATATATGGAGGTGGGTAGACCAGACATTCAGAAATATAGTATGCTCTTGGTAAGTTGATGCACTTAAAATTTTATTAATAAGCTATTTGCGCAATGGCAAGAAATTTAGCAGGATGCCTGACAGCATGGAAATATATACAAAAAATGTAAAAAATAAATAAATAAATAAAAAAAAAAAACTAAATAAAATAAGGAGAAATAAAAAAAACTAAATAAATAAAGATCGTGTCGTATAATTCATCTTATGAAATTTTGATAGTATGATTTTAGTGCTGTAATTTTACAGAATATAATGTTGTGAGGCAAATAAACTGATACCACAGGAAAAATCCATCAATACAGTGGATTCATCCACAAAATCTATTGAAACAGTGACATTATTCAAATCTTCCCCATGTTTACTTACTTATATTGTGATAAAAGAAAACTATAGAAGGAACTAATATGGTTTCCTTTAAAAAAAGTAATTTGATATGTTTAACATGTTGATTTGTTAAATGAGTTATAAAACATACACTACGATTCAAAAGTTGTCAATAAGATTTTCTAATGTTTTTTAAAGCCGCTTATTACTGCATTCATTTGATCAAAGAGTAAAACGGTAAAATTTTTAAATGTTATTACAATTTAAAATAACTGTTTTCTATTTGAATACAGTATATTTTAAAATGTAATTTATTCCTGTGAAGGGAAAGCTGAATTTTCAGGCTGCATTTATTTGAAATCTTTTGCCACATATAAATGTCTTTACTGGCATTTTTCCTCAATTTAATGCATCCTTGCTGAATAAAACTAATAGTCTCTTTCAAAAACAAATAAATAAAATACTGACTCCAAACTTTTGAATGGTAGTGTACATTTTTTAGGCATGGAAATGTGCTGCATAACAGGATTGGCCCAGGACCCTGAAGCTGGGGTTCAACAGAGATGCTAGAAAGAAATGTGAGGAGAATGACCTGTTTGCTATGAACTCTTCCTCTCGACGCTCTCAGCATCTTGCATTGAGCATTTTGTTTGAGAGCAGGCAGCCCAGGCAGACAGAGATATACATCCTGGGATGTCACTACAGACAGGCCAAGATACCTGTATTGGATGTTTGATCTTACCAGCGGTGCAAAACAGCGCATATACTGTACTGTACACTCTCTGTGAGCATGGATTTCAGATATACTCAGAAACTGTGACAGCTTGTACGAGGCAGCCCACACTGAAGAATCATGTTTCCACACACGCACAGACACGAGACCACATCAGAATGATGATATACATATCACATTATGTAACCAAAACCTATAAATGGTCAATCTAAACATTTATAAACTTTGTTTTAGCTTGCAGCTAGCGAGCTAGCCAGGTAGCTTAGCATACCACTATGCAACATAAACAGCTTAAATACAAAATGTTGTAGTGTGACAGGATTTTGTTCAGATTTTACACTATTTTTATGCTAACTGATGTTTGCTATTAGCATTTGAGGATATCCCTGCTGAAAAGAAAACCGCTAAAACCAACATAAGCTGGTTGGCTGGTTTTAGCTGGGTTTTGACCACTTCTGGGAGACCAGCTTAAACCAGCTAAGACCAGCCAACCAGTTTAGGCTGGTTTTAGCTTTTTTTTTTTAGCAAGGTAGGGCAAAAACCTTTGATTAAGATCCAAGATTTCATTATCACACATTATTGTGACTATTTAAGACAGGATTTAGCTAACCTGCATCTCCTTGTTCGCACATCTAAAGCAAAACCAGATGGCTGTCTTCGGGAAAACTTCAGAAAGTTTCCTTCCAGCATTCACCGGCGCATATATGTGCCCTTTATTGTAAACCTAATGTAATTACACATCTCTGTCGGCTTTAAGTGATGTTTGGAGGCACCGGTGCCTATTTCCCTGTGGATCGGAAAGGTTAATTGTGCTATTGTATGCTGCAGGTCGAGTGGCTAATTAAAATCCATTATTTCCACTCCGAGAGAGAGCCAACTGGAGCTGCTGCTCCCACCAGCATGAGGAAAACCCCCCTGCAGTCACCGCAGACCTCCCGTTCCTCTTCCTCCTTCAATTAGACTCTTTGATGTGAAGTTTGGCCCCCCCACCTTCTGGCGACGGTTAGGGGATCAGCAGGAACGTGCCCTCATCAGGTCTGCCTTCACATGCTGATGGGGCCATTTCAGCGGAAGCAAAACAGGCATCATTACACGT